ATTTTTTTTTTTTTCAACGTTTATTTATTTTTGGGACAGAGAGAGACAGAGCATGAACGGGGGAGGGGCAGAGAGAGAGGGAGACACAGAATCGGAAACAGGCTCCAGGCTCTGAGCCATCAGCCCAGAGCCTGACGCGGGGCTCGAACTCCCGGACCGCGAGATCGTGACCTGGCTGAAGTCGGACGCTTAACCGACTGCGCCACCCAGGCGCCCCTTTTTTTTAAAAATTTTTTTTTTCAACGTTTATTTATTTTTGGGACGATTGTGTTTTCATTTTCATTCCTCTCCATGTATTTTTATTTTCCTATTTGATTTCTTCATTGGTCTACTGGCTGTTTGGTACCATGTTGTTTAGGCTCCATGTGTTTGTGCTTTTTCTAGTTTTTTGTTTTTCCCATGTAATTCATGTCTAGCTTCTTCATATTAGTCGTAGTCAGAAAAATGCTTAGTATGATTTTAATCTTCTTAAATTTATTTAGACTTGTTTTGTGGCCTAACACATGATGTGTCCTGGAGAATGTTCCATGTGCACTTAAAATGAATGTGTATTGTTACTGTGTTGTTTTTGGATGGTATTTTCTGTATATATTTAAGTCCATCTGGTCTAATGTGTTGATTTTCTGCCTGGGTGATCTATTCACTGATGTGAGTGGGGAATTAGAGTCCCCTACTATTATTTTATTGCTGTCAAGGTTTCCCTTTGTGTCTATTAATATTTGCTTTATTTAGATGCTCTTATGTTGGGTGCATAGATCATTACAACAATTATATCCTCTAGTTGTATTGATCCCTTTATTATTATATAGTGCCCACTCTGTCTCTTGCTCCAGTATTTGATTTCAAGTCTATTTTGTCTGATAGAAGTATTGTATCCCCTCCCCCAGACTTTTTATTTTTTTGACTTCCATTTGCATGGCATATTTTTTTTTCCATCTATTCACTTTCAGTCTGTATGTGTCTTTAGGTCTGAAGTGAGTCTCTTGTAGGCGGCATATAGATAGGTCTTATTTGTTTTATCCATTTTGTCACCTTATGTCTTTTTCCAAGTGTTTTCGACTGTTTACATTTAATGTAATTATTGGTAGGGGTGCCTGGGTGGCTCAGGCAGTTGAGCACCTGACGTCAACTCAGGTCATCGTCTCACGGTTTGTGGGTTTGAGCCCCACGTTGGGCTTTGCCCCTATAGTGCCAAGCCTGCTTTGGATTGTCTGTCTCCCTCTCTCTCTCTGCCCCTCCCCTGCTCACATGCACGCTCTCTCTCTCTCAAAAATATATACTAATAAGTCACTAATGCAGGAGACTGAACTGATTCATGCTCAGGCCCCCATTAACAGGCTATTTCACAGCAATGATAATACTTTAAGCCACATTTTGTCTTCCTCCATCTTGCTTTGACCCAAGAGCAGCTTTGACTGTAGAGAAGATGTTATGCCATGGTGTGTGCCATTTTATACTTTTCCAAGAATGAGTGTTAGCCCAAGAACTGTAAATGGACATTTTCCTATTTCTGCCCCATCTGTCTCCAGTCTTTTGTATGCATTCTACAACAGTGGGTCTAACAAATACTTTGCTGTTTCATTTGAACTTGCCCTGACTGTTGTTTCCTTCTTTTAGTTTAGCTACTTGGAGAAGCTTCTGTTGGTTCATGGAGCTTGGAATTATTTTCGAGTGACAAAATGCATATTATATTGTTTCTACAAAAATGTCGTGTTATATGTTATTGAGGTAAGAAAAGATATGCTTTCTTTCATGAAAAAGTTAGGTCTTTCTTTGACATCATGTATGGCAGTTTAGTGTTTTGTTTTTTTCCCCATATTTGTATCATTTAAATTACCATTACACAATTCTGCTTTAGGTTTTTGCTCAAAGTTATTTGGTAAATTTGAGTCTTCTAACCACCATCCTGACTTAAAAAAGCATTTGCATAAGCCTTAAATTTGGCTATGGAAAAATATTGTTTAGTATTTTACTTTGAAATAATTATGGATTCACAGGAAGTTCCAAAAATATTTTTTAGAAGGTCCCATGAAACAGTCACCCAATTTTCCCCAAAGATAACACCCTGAATAACTCTAGGACATTATCGAAACCAGGATATAACTGACTGAGATTCATACTTCACAAGCTTTACCCACACTTGTGTGATTCTATGTACTTTTATCCATGTGTAGATTGATACAACCATCACAGAAATCGAGACAGACCACCCCACCTCGGCCCCAATGATACAGACCTGTTCCATCACAAGGATCCCACTCATGCTACCCCTTTATATCCACATCCAGCCGTAGCTTCTGACAGTGACTAATCTGTTCCCTATCCCTATCCTTCTTGTTCTTTCAAGAATGTTCTAAAAGTAGGGGTGCCTGGGTGGCTCAGTTGGTTAAGCATCAGACAAGATCTTGATTTTGGCTCAGGTCATGATCTCACAGTTTGCAAGATTAAGCCCAATGTTGGACCCTGCACTGACAGTGCAGAGCCTGCTTGAATTTCTTTCTCCCCCTCCACATGCTTTCTCTCTCAAAATAAATAAATAAGCTTAAAAAGAAAGAATGTTATAAAAGCAGAATTGTGTAGTATATAACCTTTCGAGATTGGATTTTTTTTTTTTTAGTCAGTATAATTCCCTTCAGATTGATCCACGTTGTTCCCTGTATCAATCATTTGTTCCAGACCATAACATTTATCACCCACTTATTGAAGAGCATTTGTATAAAGATTTTGGGCAAATGTAAGTTTTCATTTATTTAGGACAAATGTCCAAGAGTACAATTGCTGGATCATATGGTAGGTGTATATTTAGTTTTTTGTTGTTTTTTTTTTTAAAGAAACTCCCAACTATTTTCCAGAGTGACTTTACCATTTTCGATTCCTAGCAGCAAAGTATCTGTTATTTTGTTTCTCTGGATCTTTCCAAGCATTTGATATTATCACTATTTAGTATTTTAGCCATTCTGATAGATGGTTAGTGGTATCTCATTGTGGTTTCATTTAATTAAATTAATTAATTATTTTTATTTTATGTTAGAGAAAGAGTGTGAGTAGGGGAGAGGGGCAGAGGGAGAGAGAGAAAGAATCTTAAGCAGGTTCAACTCTGGGACTTGATCCCATGACTCTGGGATCATGACCTGAGCTGATATCAAGAGTTGGACACTCAACCAACTGAGCCACCCACGCAGCCCCCTCATTGTGGTTTTAAATTGCATTTCTGCAGTGGCTAATGATGTTGAATATCTTCTCATATACTTATTTGCTATCAATACATCTTCTGAAATGTGTCTTCCCATCTTTTGTCTAAATTGTCTAAAAACTAAATTAATTTTTTACTATTAATTTTTGAGAGTTCTTCACATATTTTAGACATTAGTCCTTTGGCAGATATGTAGTTTGAAAATATTTTCTTCCAGTCTGTATCATGATGTTTTGTCATATTAATAGAGTCTTTCAGAGTATAAGAGTTTTTAATTTTGAAGTGGTCCAATTTACAATTTTTCCTTTTATGGATCATGCTTTGGTTCTGTGTCAAAAAACTCTTTGCCTAGATCTAGATTCCAAAGACATTCCTCTGTGTACTTTTCTAAAAGTCTTGTGTTTTACACTTAATGTCATGATCCATTTTCAGTGAATTTTTGTGCAGAGTGGAGGGTTTAGATTTTCTATTTGTTTTGCCCATGAAATTCAATTACTTCAGTGCTATTTGATGAAAAGGTTATCCTTCCATTAAATTGGTTTTCTACCTTTGTAAAAAATCAGTTGGGCAAGTAATAAAGAAATAGGAAATATCAACAGAGTATAACTAGTAAGGAGATCAGTAATCAAATACCTCCCTGGCAAATTATACCAATCGTTCAAAGAAGAATTAAAATCTACCTCAAACTCTTCCAAAAAATTATAGAGAAAGAAACACTTACAAACTCATTTTATGAGTCTGGCATTACTATAAAACCAAAGCTACATTACAAGACACTAGAAAACACTACAAGAAAGCTACTGACCTATATCCCTGATTAATACAGGTGCAAAAATCCTTGGCAAAATACTAGCAAACTTGAATTCAGCAGCACATTAAAAAAGGAATAAAAACCATATCCTGGAATGCAAAGATGGTTCAATATATGAAAATCAGTCAACAAAGGAAAAAAAACATCATCTCGATGCAGAAAATGCATTTGATGAAATTCAACACTCTTACATGATAAAAGCATTCAACAGGCTAGAAAGAAAAAAAAATTCCTCAACATAATAAAGGCCATATATGAAAATCCCATAGCTGGTATCATGCTCAGTGGCGAAAGACTAAAAGTCTTTCCTCTGAGATCAGGAAAAGGCAAGGATGCCTGCTCTCACCACTTCTATTCAACACAGTACTGGAAGTCCCAGTAAGAGCACTTGGGCAAAAGAGAAAAAAAAAAAAAAAAAAAAAAAAAAAAAAGAAGAAGAAAGGAAGGAAGAAAGAAAAACATCCAAATCAGAAAGGAATAGGTATCTCTGTTTACAGAGGACAAGATCTTATATGTGGAAAATCCTAAAAATGTCAGAAAATAATGATCAGTACTAATAAATTCAATAATGCAACAGGATACAAACCAACATACAAAACTGCTGTATTTATATACACTAATAACAAGCTATCAAAAAGGGAAATTAAGAAAACCAAGGCGGAAAAACACTTGTACACCAAAAACTACAAAATATTGCTGAAATAATTTGAAGATACAAATAAATGGAAAGACATCCCATGGTTATGGATTGTAAAAGTTTATATTGTTAAGATGACAATATTACCCCAAATGATCTGCAGACTTGTATGCAATCCCTACAAAAATCCCATGTTTTGGAGAAATAGAAAAATGCATCCTAAAATTCACACAGAGTCTTAAAGCATCTTGAATAGCCAAAACAATCTTGAGAAATAACTGAGAAGTCTCATACTCCCTAATTTCAGAACATATACAAAGTTATAGTATTTAAAATGTGTTTTACTGGCATAAAAACAGGTATATAGACCAATGGAATAAAATAACCCAGAAATAAATCCTAGTGTATATGGTCAAATGATCTTTGAAAACACCAAGGTTACATAATGGAGAAAGGATAGTCCCCCTTTAGCAAATGCTAGTGGGAAAGCTGGATATCCATATGCAAATTAAATAAATAATCAAACACCTTAAACCATTTACAAAAGTTAACTGAAAATTGATTAAGGACCTAAAAATAATACCTAAAACTATAAAGCTCTTACAAGAAAATAAAATGGAAAATCTTCATACATTGTGTTTGACAATAATTTTCCTGAACATGACATGAAAGCACATGCAACAGAAGCAAATACAGACAAGTGGTTCTACATCAAATGTTAAAACCTCTGTGTTGATTGTGACAATCAACACAGTAAAAATACCTACAGGATATGAGAAAAATGCTTGCAAATTACATATCTCATAAGCTAATGTCTAGAATAGTGAGCTCCTACAACTCAACAACAAAAAATCAATCTGATATAAAGTTGGGTAAAGAACCTGAACAGACATTTCTACAGAGATAGAATATAAATGGCCAACAATATGTGAGAAAATGTTCAACACCACTAATCACTGGAGAAATGTAAATCCAAACCATAATCACGTATTACATCAATTAGGATGGCTACTATTAAAAAATAAAACAAAACCCGCAGAGAATAACAAATGTCGGTGAGGATGTGAAGAAAGTGAACCCTTGTGAACTGCAGGTATGAATAAAAATTGGTGCAACCAGTATGGAAAATAGTATGGTGATTCCTCAAAACATTAAAATAGAATTACATGATTCAGCCATTCCACTTCTGAGTATGTATCTAAAATACTGAAAGCAAGAATCTTTTTTTTTTAATTTTTTTAACATTTATTTATTATTGAGAGAGAGAGAAGAGAGCAGGGGAGGGGCAGAGAGAGGAGGAGGCACAGAATCCAAAGCAGGCTCCAGGCTCTGAGCCGTCAGCACAGAACCCGATGCGGGGCTTGAACTCACAAACCGCGAGATCATGACCTGAGTCGAAGTCGGACACTTAACCGACTGAGCCACCCAGGTGCCCCTGAAAGCAAGAATCTTGAAGAGATATTTACACACCATGTTTAATGCACCATTATTTACAATACCCAAGCAGAAGCAACCCAAACGTCCAGTGACAGATGAAGAGATAACCAAAATGTGATATATAAATACGATGGAATATTATTCAGCCTTAAAAGGAAAGTAAATTCTGACACATACTATAATATGGATGAACCTTGAGGACATTGGCTAACTATGAGTCACACACAAAAAGCCAAACAATGTATGATTCCACTTACATGGGGTATCTAAAATAGTCAAATTCAGAGAGACAAAGGAGAGTGTTGGTGACCAGTGGCTGAGGGTTGAGGGATATGGGGAATTGTTCAGGGGGTACAGAGTTTCAGTTTTGCAAGATGAAAAATTCTGGAGATTGGTTGCACAACAATGTGAATATACTTAACGTTACTGCACTGTACACTTAAAATTGGTTATGGTTCTTACCACAATTAAAGTAAGTTGGACATACTCATGTAGATACATACTATGTGTTTCTGGGTTCTCTAACTCCTTGATTTCTGTGTCTGTTCCTCTGCCAACATCACACTGTCTCGAATTCTGTAGCAATACCATGAGCCTTAACATCAGGTAGAGTGAGTCTTTTCACTATATATTTTTAAAATTGTCTTAGTTATTCCCAGTCCTTTGCCTTAAATTTTTCTATTCGAGTATAAATAATATACATTGTTATATTAGTTTGAGATGTACAACATCGTGGCTCAACAATTCCGTCCGTTACTCAGTGCTCATCACAAGAAGTATAGTCTTAATCGCCTTTACCTATTTCACCCATCCTCTCATTCACCTTCCCTCTGGCAAGTCCCGGTCTGTTTTCTATATTTGAGGGTCTGGGTTTTTTTGTTGGTTGGTTGGTTGCTTTTGTTTCTTAAATTCCACACAGGGGAGAAATCATATAGTATTTGTCTTTCTCTGACTTATTTCACTTAGCATTATACAATCCAGGTCCATCCATGTTATTGCAAATGGTGGGATCTCACACTATTTCATGGTTGGGTGATATTCCATTGTATATATACCACCTCTCCTTTATCCATTCATCTACTGGTGAATAGTTGGGCTGCTTCCACATTTTTGCCATTGTAAATAATGCTGCAGTAAACACAGAGGGGCAGAGATCTTTTCACTGAAACAATGCATTATTGGACAATCAGATCTAAGCATTTCATTGAAATTGTTATTCTTTCTCTGTCAAAAAATAAAGAATGAAATAAAAATTCTAAAATAAATGAACTGCCTTTCTGTTAAGCTCAAACACTCAAGCTTGATTTTATTTACATTCTGGCAAAATTCCATTTGATGACATGGGAAAATAAGAATGATAAAGCATAGTATTTTAAGTACTTCAGTGAATGGAAACATTTAGGTCAGTATTGATACAAAACTTCATGAACTTTCTTCTCTTTCAGCTTTGGTTCGCCTTTGTTAATGGATTTTCTGGGCAGATTATATTTGAACGCTGGTGCATCGGCTTGTACAATGTGGTAAGCATTCCCTGTCTCTATCTGATAGCATGCGAAACTTCAGTGACATTCCTTTACTGTTTACGTCTGGGAAGTGTATCTAAGTCAATCATCTGTATACATAGCGGGCAGCACAAATACATCTTTAGAGCCTTTGTTGCTGCGACACATCCCGCAGAAGCCCAAGCTCTCCACACATGGTTTCAATCATAGCAGATCATTCTATAGCAACTGCATTAAATTTGTACCAATGTATTTTGATAATACATCCAAAATCTCCTTACTGAATGCTTGCACAATGTTTTCAGGCTTTTAAGGCAAGTAATTATTATTGAACTCTACCTCAACCAATTCCATTTAATACATATAATTAATATTTATCTATCTTTGTATATGTGGGTGTGTGTTCATAGTGTAACTCCATGGCCTTTTAAACCTGGAAGAAAATTTGTCCTTTTGTAAATATATCATCCTGTGTTTGTATGAAATGATGAATTTGATATCGAGTCCTATGTTAAGAATAAATGTAATAAATGGAATTTTCTACAACTAAGCAATCCCATACCATTACTTAACTCATTTTAAATTCAAACACTGGGAATAAACAATATGGTTAAGTTCATCTTAAAATTTTTGGTTTATTTTTCTTGTATTATTAATTCCACTTTAAAGATTAGCAGTTAGGGAAACCTAGCGTAAAAAATACGCTCCCGGTGAGCATATCATGACTTTTCTTTTGTACTGCACTGTCATAGTCATGTTACCATCTGGATGCTGTGTGCCTTAATCCCTAAAATTCTGTCTTCTAGGAGCTTAAACTCTGAAACAGCACAGACACAAGTCGCGGGCCAGAAGTCATTAAGTATCCAATAATACTAAGATGTCTAGTGCTAGGAACAGTTACAAGTCAACTCCAGGCGCTTCTGGCTAGTGCACTACACCGATGAACCTGAGGTCATACACATAGTCGCTCTACCAGGCTCTTGGTCACAGACGACAACACTCGATGTGTTGTTTCTTTATTGTTTTTGAAGTGTCGTTACATACTGCGGTAGGGAGTGGCACAGTCTCTCCTCTCTGTCAGAAAATTCACTATGGGGGTGTCTGGTGGGCTCAGTTGGTCAAGTGTCTGACTCCTGATTTTGTCTCAGGTCATAATCTCACAGTCATGAGATCAAGCCCCACATTGGGCTCTGTGCGGACAGCAAGGAGCCTGCTTGGGATTCTCGCTCTCCCTCTCTCAAAACAAACATTCAAACAAAAAAACCAAACATTTTTTAAAATTATTAAAAAAAAGAAGAACATTCATATGAATGCATGGCCACAGATATTAGTCAATAGAGTCTTATTTTTTTCTTTAATGAACAAAAGCACAGAAACTTTTTTTTTTATAAACAGTAAAATGAGGGCTACGGTGGGAAACTTAAAATTATAGACATTTTAGGACAATATATGATGACTTATTAATAGCCATTGACTTACTAAATCTTATTACGAATATATTTTGCAGATGGGAAAAAAGAGGAGGCCTAGACATTTTACATAGTTACTGGCAATAAGAGAGAGCTAAATTTAAATCGGTTGTCATACTATTTCTGGAGGTCATATATTATTTCTGCTTCTTCCGCGCATGACTAACTGTTATAGGAAACCTCCTGCCAGAAATAACCTATCAGACAAAATATATAAAATAATGATTTTCAAACATTAAACGACAGGCTGCTCATGACTGTGATCCTTGAGAGAAGGCCTCTTCCAGGCCACAACGCAGGAAGATGGACCCAAAAGAAAGCCCAGGTGTCTACGCGAGTTGAAGACACAGAGGTTGGAGTGCAGGACCAAGGCAGCTAGAATGTCAGAGGGAACTATACTGAGAGAGAGAGACAGCGTGACTCCGGAGATCCGTAGCTGGCCCCTGCGAACTATTGCTTCTGCTCTGTGTCTGCATGAGAAAAGTCTACCCACAGCTAGGGAAAGAACCACTATAAAGTGGGAGGCTGTCGCCAAAAAAGAAAGTAATATTTGAAGTAACAATGATCGAAAATGTCAAATCTGATGAAAGCTCACAAATCTAAGAACCTCAACAAATTCCAAGAAGAAGAAACCTAAAGAAAAACACACAAATGTTCTTTATAACCAAATTGCTGAAAATCAGTGGCCAAGACAATAATCTTTAAATCAACCACATAAACCAATACCGTGTACAGAACACAAACGTGTGAATAAAAGCAGATTTCTCGTTGAAAACCATGCAGGGCAGAAGACAATGGAATATCTTTAAAGATCTGAAAGAAAGAAAACAAATCCATTAACCCCAAATTCTATATGCGGTAAAAATGTCTTTTGAAAATGAACCAAGAAAATAGAAAACTCATCACCAGAAGACCTGTAATACCTGAAATGTGAAAGAAAGCTCTTCAAACAAAAGGAACAGTACATCAGGATGAAGTCTGGATCTGTCCAAAGAGGAACAGAAATGTTAATTATGTGGGAATTTATAAGACACTTTCCCTCTTCCCCTCATTTTCAATCATGATGCCAGATAACTGTTTAAAACAAAATTAATAATGTATTCTGGGAACTGTCATTAATTTAGAATTAAAACATATGATAAAGATAGCACAAAGAATGTGAGGAGGGATTTGGGAGTGTATTATTTGAATTTTGTGATACACTGCATATGCATACTGTAAATTTTAAAGAACTAAAACCCCCAAAAGTTATGGCTAATGAACCAATAATGGAGATATAATAAAATCTTAATATTCAATTACTTCAAAAGAAGTCAGGATATAAGGTAAAACGGAAGACTGCACCAAACAGAAGAAAACAGGACCATGGTAGATTTCAACTGAACCACATTTATAATTACACTGTAATTATCCCAATAATTAGAAATCCTAAGAATCCGAACTATGTAACAATCTAATAACACAGCTTATTAGAAACTAAGGAGAAATGAAGCAGATCTTGATAGAATTAAATGGCAAGTTAAGTAAATGGACTCTTGCCTTCAGTGGCTTAACCTCTCCTGAATGAGCAGGGTCTGGTGCCCAAGCCAGCCGACCGCTTCCATGAGCCCTGGGACATCAGTCTACACCGGCACCAGTCACCCCACCAAGGTGACAGAGGCACCAAACACCATGAGACACACGAGGCCCATAGGACTTCCCGGGCACCCCCTGCGCAGTGTCCGTAGGCCCCTCTGGCCTGCATCCTGCCTCAGCTCCAGTGGCCCTGCCACGGTGTCCACTCTGCAGAGAGCCCTGGGATCCTCTTGCCCACGCCCACCTCAGCGCCAGCCACCCCACGGGGCGTGGGCCCCTTCCAGTGAGCGCTTTGAGACACCCAGATTGCACTCACCTCACCTGCAGCTGTCCCGCCAGGGTTCCTTCTGTGTGGAGAGCCCTGGGCCCCAGGCCTGCACACACTACAGCTTCAGTCATCCTGCCAGGGAACCCTCCGCGTGAAGAGTCCTGGGACTACCCCAGCCCAAGCCCACGTCAGCTTTCGCTGTCTTGCCATGGTACCCTCAGTGCAGAAAGCCTCAGGTCCTGCCTTGCACTCACCTCAGCTTCAGCCGTCCTGCCAGGACACCCTCTGTGCCAAGAGCCCAGGATCACTCCATCCCAATCCCATTTCAGCTTCATCTATTTTATCAGGGCAGCCCCAGTGTGGAGTCATGCGGGACTCCATCCCGCGCCAGCCACGGCTCCTGCCAGCCAAAGTCACCAGGCACACACAATCTACACGGGGGACAGCCAGACACAAGACCATCCCTTCAGGTTTAGGAGAAATAGCTATTCTACCTAATTGACAAAGACAAACACAGAAAGTCAAGTAAAACACAGAAGCAGAGGAATACGCTCCAAATGAAATAACAAAACAAAAACCTCAGAGAAAGAACTAAACAAAAGGGAGATAGCCAATAAAGGATTCAAAGTAGAGAGGCACCTGGGTGGCTCAGTTAAGCATCTGACTCTTGATTTCAGCTCAGGTCATGATCTCATGGTTTGGGAGTTCAAGCCCCACATTGAGCTCTGTGCTGACAGCTCAGAGTCTGCTTGGAACTCTCTCTCTCTCCCTGCCCCTTCGCACTCACAGTCAGTCTCTCTCTCTCTCTCTCAGAATTTAAAAAAAAAAGGTTCAAAGTTATGCTCAAATACATGCCCACCAGATTGGAGAGAAGAGCGGTTGAACTCAGTGAGAACATCAAGAGATAGAAAACATAAAAAAGAACCAATCAGGTTCTTCATAATACAGTAACTGAAAGAATACAATAACTGAAAAGTACACCAGAGGGAATCAACAACAGATTGGAGGGACAGAATAACAGACCAGTGACCTGGAAGGCAGGGTAATGGAAAGCACCCCGAACAGCAAAAAGACAAAAGAGTTTCTAAAAATGAGGATAGGTTCAGGGATCTCTTGGACAATATCAAGTGAAAAAGCATTCACATTATAGGGGTCCCAGAAGGAGAAGAGAGAAAAGGGCAAAAACTTATGGGAAGAAATAAGAGGCAAAAAATCCCCTGACTTGGGAAAGGAACTAGACATCTAGGTTCAGGAAGCAGACAGAGTTCCAGTGAAACCAGGGAGGTCTACGACATGACACTAATAATTACAATGTCGAAGATTAAAGACATAGAGTTTTTTTTTAATTTTTTAATGTGTGTTTATTTTTGAGAGAGAGAGACAGAGTGCAAGCAGGGGAGAGGCGGAGAGGGAGACACAGAATCTGAGGCAGAATCTAGGCTCTGAGCTGTCAGCACACAGCCGGACGTGGGGCTCAAACTCACAAACCGTGAGATCATGACCTGAGCCAAAGTCGGATACTTAACCGTCTGAACCACCCAGGTGCCCGAAGACACAGAGTTTTAAAAGCAGTAAGAGGAGAGCAACTAGTTTGTACAAGGGAAATTCCATAAGTCTAACAGCTGATTTTTCAGGAGAAATTGCATGTAACACAAAGTGACATGAGAAACTCAAAGCACCGAAAGGAAAAAACCTACAATCGAGTG